GGCATGTTACCCAACTGAAAAGATTTTAAACGCCTAAATATTATTTCAGGCAAAAACTAATTGGCTGAGTTCTAGCCCAGTTGAGCCACACTTTCGGACTAGAAAACAGGAATTTGGGTATTTTGCCTCCTGCAATCAATTTTCGCACCAAGTGGCGGAAACAGGCGTTCCTTTACGCGAATTTGTCAAAGGAACAAGACTTGGCCACAGATCGAGCCTGTGACCAATATTTCTTGACGATGTGGCCTACACGGTTAAAACGGAGCCCGGTTTTCCAGGAAACCAATGGGAAAAGAATAGGCGATTACCAGGGAGCTCCTGGGAAAACCAGGAACCGTTTATACCGTGTAGAAACCACTAAAAACGACTCGAGAACACATTTGTCTTAGAATTTTTGAAAATTTATAATTTTGTTTGCCCTTGTGTGTAATTAATCGATAAAGTCAGATGCCCCTATTTAGCCGCTGTCACTGTTTGCTCTTTGGGAAAAAGTTATCCCCACCACTCTGGCTCGAGGCGAGCCCGGGCGGACGGGTTCGGGACTCGCCGGCCGGCCGGCTGACCCTCGCACGGCGCCGCAGTAATCCCCCGGCCAGGCTCATTTTTGAAAATGCAATTTGCGTTCAAATTTTCGGCAAATGCTTTTGCGGAGCGTGTTTCTGGCGTCAAAATGGGCAGGTTCAATGAAAATTTCATGTCAAAATTTGAATTTTTGACCAAGCCGGCCGCGCCCGTCAGGAACCCCACTGTTAAAAAAGTTATGAATTTTCAAAGCAATTTTGATGACAATTTTACGAATACGGATATGAATTTTACAAACATTGCAATTTTCATAACTTGATGCGAAAATTCGAAACAATTTCGTAAAATTGACAATTGTTGGTAATTTTAAAACCATGTTCTGAAAATTGCGAATCTTAAATGTTGATTTTGAGCACACAATAGTAATTTTCCGAATCCGATTGTAAATTTCATAACTAGCTCAAGAGGCGTGGCCAAGGGGCGCTGGTAGAGTCATCAGTAGCTGACCCTCCGCCTCCCGTGGGACGTGGTAGCACAGCGGTAAAGAGCGCGCACCACAAGTCAAAGATCCCGGGTTCGAAACCCGCTGATCAAAAGCAGAATCGGTTCACTAAATGGCATAAGGCCGCTTGGGTGTTTATATACATGAACACTTAGTTGTCCTTTTGCTTAACTGCTCTAAAATGACCTCGCAAACGCGAACATGAATTTTCATAACATGATATGAATTTTCATAACGTGATTGTAAAACATTTTACAATCATTTGTGATTTTAATTTTCATAACAATTGTTTGTGAAAAAAAATGCCAACCAATGTTATGAAAATTACAACTGATTTTTTTAACAGTGCCGGCACCGCGTCCAAATAGCGATTTGAGGCACTTGTAAATGTCAGATCGAGTTGAAATTTTGAAAGTCTGTTGTTCAAAGCATAAGGATCTCCAGGAGTGAACAAAAGTGTGGGTTGGGTCGGTGAAAAGCGTTCAAACTTGATCATTTTTTTGTTCAAACGAAAAAGTACCGTAACTTGGTCTAAAATTCAAATTTTGACATGAAATTTTCGTGGATTCTGCCTATTTTGACGCCACCCGTTTAAAAAAGATCGTGCCGAGAATGTGTCGAAATGATGTCGAAATGATGCCGAAGTGTCCGGCATGCCCTGAATGATGCCGAAATGCGCTCGGCAAGCCCGAAATCCACCCGCCGCCGGCACGCGGCAAGCCCGAAATGAGCCCCGCTGTCGCGGGCGGCCCGGAATCGTACCGCGACCCCGGCCGCTGACCGGCCGGGTGGATTTCGGGCGTGCCCGTGCCTTTCGGCATGATTCCGGGCATGCCCGAGTGACGGGGCGCATCGAGACCCTAATCAAAGAAGTGTCAAGTTAATGTCTTTGACCTGCGTACAAAATTGAAAAGTTAAAATAGTGAAATTCTTTCTTAAGTTCCAAGTCTATCAAAACCGGCGTGAAAAATTAGAAAATTCCGTGCAAACGAGATGTTTGTAGGACAATTTTGAATTCTTTGACTGAACAAATCTCCAATCAAATTAAACACTTTGATACGGGTACTTGAATGAATGCAGTTGAATCCGTTGAGCTACTGATGCTTAACAGCCTTAGCATACCTAAATAGTAACTTTAGCTTGCCATCCTATAGAAAAAGGGCTGGCTCTCATTAACATGAGCCGCGGGAAAAGGGTACTTCGAGTACGTGGATTATAAGGAAGCGAAGAACCTGGTTTGCGTGTAAGAGCCAACACCCCAATAACTGGGTTTGGGAGCCTGAGACCTGGGTTTCCAGTGGGCCTGGATCCGCGTGTTGACTAGTCCACACGCAGTGCTCTAGTACCTCCGCTCAAGTTCACCGAGTCTGTTGTTAGATCCAAGTGCCCAGCTGAACCCGCGCACCTTGTCCAAAAGTCGAGGGGCTCTCCGCGAGTAACCCAAGAGTCTCGCGGAGGTTACTTATTCGTCAAGACACAGGGCTCGCCGCGCGCTCCTCCCCCCCGCAGCGTGTCTCCCCCGCCCCCTCCAGTGCCGCTCGGGGTCGAGCGGGCTCGCTGGAAGGCATCGGGAGCCTGAGGCTTCCTCCCCAGGTCTCCTCCGTGGTGCAGTTGGCAGCGTCTCGGTCCACAAAGACGGTCGTCCTGGGTTCCAATACTAACCAGTGTTTCTCCTTCAGCGTTCTGTGTACGTGTGTGTGTATGTGAGTGTGTATGTGCGTCTGTGTGTGTACGAGTGTGCGTGTGTGCGAGACTGAATAGGATCCGCCATCCAGGTACCTCCCCCTCCCCGGCGCCTTAATGGGAGGGACGGTTCGGCACGATTTCGGCATGCCCGGCAAGCGTCCGGCATTGCCGAAAATCGGTTTATTTTCCAACAAAATGATCGTTTTTCGGCAAGCCCGGACTCCTGGTTCGGGGCGGATTTCGGGCGTGCCGGCCGGGCATGCCCGAAATCCTGCCGTCATCCGGCACGATTTCGGGCAAGATCATTTTTAAACGGGCAGGAACACGCTCCGCTATACAGTTTGCCAAAAATTGGAACGCTAATTGCATTTACAAAAATGAGCCTGGCCGGGAGATTACGGCGCTGTAATCCCTACCTGCGAGGGTCAGCCGGCCGGCCGGCGGGTCCCGGACCCGCCGGCCAATTGATTGCAGGAAAAAGACACCCAACCTCATGTGTTCTAGTCCGAAAGTGTAACTTTGCTGGGCTGTAACTCACCCAATTAATTTTTGCCGGACGTAATATTTTAGCTTTTGAAGTCTTTTTAGGTGAGTAACATAACATGCCCACAAAACATCAGGACGATGGGAGCGGGTTGTGGCACAAAGTGTCTTTTCTCCAACAGGATTACGGGGCATTCCAGAGCCGATTGACAGTGGTCGAAGTTGACCTTTGACGATTTTGCTCATTTTTGGCTCAAATGTTACCTACCCATAGGCGAACATCCCCACAAAATTTCAGCCCTCTAGGTCAGTTAGTATGGGAACTGTGAGCAATCAAAGTTTTTGGCTTTTTTGCTTTAGTCGTTTTTGACCAAATTGCACTTTTTTACTGACATGCTCCGGAATTCTTTTCTTTTCGGTCCTGAGGTCTGAAAATTGGTACTCGAATGTAAAATTGAGTGGGGAATCCGAATCTGCACGCAGAATCGACTTTAGAACAGTCCTTCGTTGATAAAAACGCACTCAAAGCCAAAAAATGACTTTTTCTAGTGTTTTACAACCTTCAATTTTCTCCCCATCCCGGAATCCAAACTGGACCCGTTCTAGGCGGGAAATCATTCCTTAGACAACTTCCTAAAAATAAGCGGCTCGAGATACCGAGGGTATGGGTATGGTTTGGGCGCTGTAGTGCTCGCAACTTTGACAACTGCTGAATGTTCAATCGAATGAGATCTCATTGATCGGTGCGTCTGACAGCAGTTTGCATAAAGACTTTTTTCTTCAAAATTTGATTTCTGACAAGTTGTTCTCAGGACATTTTGCTCTATCTCTAACGGTTTGTGAAATATGAGGCTAAGATGGTTTGGGACCGAAACATATGTCTCTAGAGTACTATCTAGCTTTGATCAGCACCTTTTGAAACGCCTTTTTAACATAGTCCCTCGAGACATTTTTTGGGGGACCGAAAGTCGAAAAGTGCCAAGTCCACGACCACCGGTTTCCCAAAAAAATGTCTCGAGGGACTATGTTAAAAAGGCGTTTCAAGAGGTGCTGATCAAAACTAGATAGTACTCCAGAGACATATGTTTCGGTCCCAAACCATCTTAGCCTCATATTTCACAAACCGTTAGAGATAGAGCAAAATGTCCTGAGAACAACTTGTCAGAAATCAAATTTTGAAGAAAAAAGTCTTTATGCAAACTGCTGTCAGACGCACCGATCAATGAGATCTCATTCGATTGAACATTCAGCAGTTGTCAAAGTTGCGAGCACTACAGCGCCCAAACCATACCCATACCCTCGGTATCTCGAGCCGCTTATTTTTAGGAAGTTGTCTAAGGAATGATTTCCCGCCTAGAACGGGTCCAGTTTGGATTCCGGGATGGGGAGAAAATTGAAGGTTGTAAAACACTAGAAAAAGTCATTTTTTGGCTTTGAGTGCGTTTTTATCAACGAAGGACTGCTCTAAGGTCGATTCTGCGTGCAGATTCGGATTCCCCACTCAATTTTACATTCGAGTACCAATTTTCAGACCTCAGGACCGAAAAGAAAAGAATTCCGGAGCATGTCAGTAAAAAAGTGCAATTTGGTCGAAAACGACTAAAGCAAAATAGCCAAAAACTTTGATTGCTCACAGTTCCCATACTAACTGACCTAGAGGGCTGAAATTTTGTGGGGATGTTCACCTATGGGTAGGTAACATTTGAGCCAAAAATGAGCAAAATCGTCAAAGGTCAACTTCGACCACTGTCAATCGGCTCTGGAATGCCCCTTACTCATTGTTTGGCCCGTCCCATGCCCGAGGGGATGCTTGCTGTCCGTCCGTCCGTCCGACCGTGACCAAATGTACTATACAGCCTCCTTGGTTGATCCTTCGAACCGCCCGGAGGCAAAAAAATTGTCTCGTCGTCCTGATTTCAAAAAGAGCACTACTTGCCCTGCTGGCTGTGCCCGTTGCCGAAATCTTCCTTGACCTCATGTAGACACTGGTAGCCACGGAATGTGACGTCATGTCCATTTTCACGTGAAAATGGCGATGTTAGTTTGAGTGTGACAAACGGTGATAATTCACAGTCAAACGAATGTGACATAATCATGTCGTGTAACATCCAAACAAATGTAACATCCATGTAAGGGAGTATGGGGCGATTTGTAACAGGGGCGATTCGTAAGTGCGTTTATTAATTTAAGTGGAGGGAGCAGAGGAAAAAAAAAAAGAGTATGGCCCCTCTTTCGCTTCAAGTACAAGATCCTTGAACAATCGAAGCGGATGTGATCGGGGCTCAGGTATATTTTTGGAGGGGGTCTGAAATGTAGGGTACACCGAAATTTCGGCAAACAGGCAAATCTTTAATTTTGAGTTCTAGGAAATTTCTGTCTGAGGCTCCCCAGGTATGAATCACCATCGAAGTACCGTTGGGGCCTTGTAGCGTGACCCCTTTACAATGTAAACACGTGGCATAAGTTGCTTTTACTTTGTCCAGTGATAGTTAGGGACGGATTTCTTGCGTAACAGGCATTTGGGGTGATTCGTAACAGACCCGTATAAAAACAGGAATTTAAGTAGTTTTTGCTGTTAAATGCTTGAATTATTTCTCCGAAATGCATTTTAAAGCGAGTTATTCTATGCTTTCCCCTAAAATTAAAAAGTGAGGTTAGGATTGACATAGCCTATCAGTTAATGCTGAGGCGGTCAACGGCAGCTTGTAATGTTGCTTTTTAAACGTCTGCAGGACACCCGACGAACAACTGGTGGAGGAGATAACATTCCCGACGATGTTTCATTTAATGTGTAGGATGTTATGACAAGCCCCATGGCTGTTACAAATCACCCCGTGCTGGGGCGATTCGTAACAGCATGCAAGGGTTTGGAAAACGTCTTAGATTTCAAAGATTACGGACTCCAGATTGATCCAATGGAGCTGCACAGTCTAGATGAAGGGCCAGACTGCTAAACTGGCACAAGTTTGACACCGATATGCAGAATGTTCTTAATTTTGTATAGAGAATTCCGAAATCTGTTACAAATCGCCCCACACTCCCTTACTGTCACATTCGTTTAAATGTGACATGTTAACATTGTCACGTTTGTTTGAATGTGACGCGCCATGATTGTCAAACTAAGGGGTGTCACATTCGTTTGAATGTGACAAAGTGGGCATGTCACATTCAAACGAACGTGACAGTACATGTGTGTCACATTCGTCTTAGTCACAGTTTGACAGCTGATTGCGTGTCACACCCGAAGTAATGTGACAAAGCGGTGCTGTGTGTCACATTCGTTTAACTGTGAATTTTCACCGTTTGTCACGCTCAAACTAACATCACCGTTTTCACGTGGAAACAATGTTGCCAACCCACGAAAATGTATTTATTGCCTCCTTTCAGCGACTAACGCTTTACCAATGATAGACTTCAAAGATGTCCCGAAGTCAGGTTAGGAACACTTTGCAGAGCGTTAGCATTCAAATTTCTCGAAGTTTTGATTTCATTTTATTGACAAGTTAGACGAAAATATACGAGGTTCTTGGGAGCCCCTGAATATGATTAACATTATGTTGTTCTTCTCAAAAGTAAAAGTTTCTGCCATACCTTACTTGAGCAGTTTTAACATATTTCGTCTTTATTTTTTCAGGTATCGTCTAACCTCATGGAATTTGTTCATTCATTCAGTTCTCAGTGGTACGTACTTTTTTACATAACTTCCAATGAAACATAGTTTTTTATGCTAAGATTTGTTCCTTACAAAGTTAAATGCACCTTTCCAAAATAAAAATTACTCTAGTTTGTTGAAGAATCTTCATCATTGAGAATTGAAACGAAGTTTTGTTTTGCGAGAGTAACAATTGTTAAAATTTTGAATTTGCGTTTTCATTTTAAATTAAAATTTAATTTGCAGGTAGACTGAAACAAAAACAAAAATTTCGAGTGTATATTTTTACCTGCTTAATTTTGTTTGTATTTCAGATTTTTGTCTGGAGCGTTCCAAGAAAGTGTACTGCCTCTTACTACAACTACAAGTTTCAGAGTCATAAACGTAAGGATTTTAAATGTGAAGTTTAAAAAAATGATAAACAAAAGCACCCAATTAATGACAAATAAATATTGTCGTCTACTTTGTTTCAGGGTTTTCCAAAAGCTGCTTTATTGAAACGCCGTCTATCAATTGCCTTGGCTCCAGCCTTCCCTTCACCAACCAATCACTTGCTTGTATAAGGTAAACTGGGAATCTTTATGGCAGTAACACAATCGCTTTATTTCCATGTGTTCAATTATTGACGAACAGTGGCAGACACAAAAGTACTAATAAAGCTTGTCACTTTTCTCTGTTAAAGATCCACCAAAAGCAGTTTCAGAAGATAACTTGCCATTTACAAGAACAGTGCGTTGACTATTCAGACATTTGTTTTTGTAACACGCTTAGGAAATAATGTCAGTCTTAGGGTTCTTTGTCTTGCTTTGCATTTCTCACATGTCACACCAACTGCCTGAGTCAATTACAATCGAGAGAACGGCGGCCATCACTGTCCACAAAGAGCATGACATTCACTTGGCCGAGGGATTGTACGACATAAATTTGGCAGGGTCTTTGGAGAAACCATTGCTAATACGAGAACATTGGCTGTCACCGTCTCAAAAACAACTTTGTGATGGTAGTGTTGATACAAAGCACGTCTGCGATTCTTTGAACGTAATCAGTGAAGCGGGCCGAGAAATGGCCAGACAAATGGAGAATGTGTTTGCAGATGTCAATGAAGAGAGAAGGAACCGCCAAAGACGTGCTTTGCTACCTTTCATTGGGGAAATCTCTAAAGTTTTATTTGGAACGGCGACGGCCAATGATCTTGATAAAAGTATTGAGCATTTGAACAGTTTGGGTCACAAAATTGATGAGATAACAAAATCTCATGATGAGATGGTAAGTGTCATCAACGAGAACGCTCTACAGCTGCAGAATCTCGCTTCTTCTGTGTCACAGAACAACGAGAAATTTGGCAAAGCGCTGCAGACATTGCAGGACAGTATTGAATCCCTTCGTTCAGACACTCGCAACCGGTTCATAATTCTTGAAGCCTACACAGCTATGCTTGAAAAGGTTAACGAAATAAGACTACAGCTAGAAAAAATAAGATCAGTTCATGATTCTTGCAAACAAAAAAGGTTGCCAAATCTTCTGTTCCCAGTGTACCGGTTAAGAAGCGTTTTGGCAGCTCACCGAACAGTAATTGAAAAGAAAAATATGTTTTTGTCTATACCTGATTCTCAAATGCAGCTCTTCTACGATCTGCCAACAGCTACGTGCACTTTCAGCGAGTCTAGACTACTTCTGGTAAAGTTAGGTGTTCCCCTGAGCTACAAGATAGCTCCTTGGAAAGCATTTTCTATCAGTCCTAATAAATTTCTCAACAACGGTTTGACATGTTCTTTGTTAAGTGAAAAGGTATATTTGGCCACTGACAAAAGTAGAGTAATTACCCTTCAGGATGCTCAGCGCCTTGGAACGACTTATATCTATGTTCGTCAGCAGTTCTTCTCTCCAGCTGACAAAACCAACTGCGTGGAATCACTGCTGACGAACACAGATATAACGGAAATAGCCAAGACATGCCCGCTTATCTGTTCTTACAATCCCAAAGTCACTGTGGAACAATACAATGAAACAGCATTTACAGTTGTGAACCCTGTCGACACTCTCCACGTTTTCTGCGGTCGCGCGGTGTCACAGAGTTTAGAACCCATTCAGGATGGACGCTACCTTCTTTCTTTGGGCTGTGAATGCAGTTTGCAGAATGTTGACACGAAGGACACGCTGATCCACGACAGTGTTGTGTGCGATCGTAGTGATGCCTTCACGTCTTTCATTGATTCCAGCCTTGTAAATGAGGGTTTCTCCGCATACAACATTTACGCAAGTTACTCAACCCTTTCACAAAACAAAACGCCGATCCTTCCCGAATTACATCTATCTGACATTGTTGTTGTCACTGCTGCACCTTTACCAACGGGCAATTTGTATGAAGATTTGCCCAAAACGTCTAGAGATTTCTTTGTAATAACTTGGGGTAGTACGTTGTTGCTTGTTTTGAGTAGTGCCATAGGAATTATTATTTTTCTCATAAAAGCTGGGATAATTTCGCCATTTTCTCTTTGTTGTTGTTTAAATCAATCGGAAGGAAACGATGTGGCAAATGTACAAGTAGAAGGGCATTCTGAGGCTGATGAGACTGACAACGATCATCAGCCCGGAATACCGCTGTCTGAAATTGCGGCACGCTTGCCACAAATCGCTTCGCAATTAACGAAACATGTTTGAGTGATTATATTATACCATCAATTGAATGTTTTTAGTAAAATGCAATAAAATGTAAAATTGTTTCATACAGAAAGTATAACCAGTTTTTTCTTCATCCCTTCATCTTCAGGGCATCACAGAAGGATAAAAATGGCACTGCAACGCCCATAAGAAAAAACAAAAATAAATTATAAAACATACAAGCATTTTTGCGACTTACTTGCTGCGAAGATACACTCTCATAACAGGAACGTGACATCATATTGAAACGAATGTGACACAAAATTGACACGTTCGTTTGAGCATTGCGTCACGTTCATTTGGAAGGGATTAAGCTTCTTTATGGCTGATTCACATCGAAACGAATGTCACACAATGCTGAAACGAACGTGACATTTTTGTCACATTCGTTTCAACGTGATGTCACGCTCCTGAAATGAGAGTGTACCTTGGCAAAGTAGCTCAGTTTTGACAGAGTTGTAGTGAAGAAAACTGGTCAGAAACTCGTCATCTTTGTTGCTGCACAGAAAAGTACCGTCTTTGGGGGTAACTTGGGACAGCCGGCCCTGTACACCTTCTTGGTGCTGCCATTCAGCGACGGGGGTTCCTAGCGCCAAACCCGGCAGGATCTCGTTTCAGAGGCCTCAGGGAACGCGCGGAAAGGTGAATAAGCAACATAACTTCACAATTAGTACATGAGAAACGGGAAACTACATAATAGGGGTTTTGACAAAATACATAGGTCAAACATTGACAAGTTTACCCTAGTGCAAGTAGTGAAATGCAGATTTGGCCGATTAGTTGCTGTGGGTCGTGATACATAGACAATAACAGTCGCAAATGGGCGTTGATTCCAGTTTTCGTTCGGTCCAGACTTCAATTTATCAAAAATCAAAATTTAACGGGGTAACTTGGGACAGTCTTTTCCTCATGTTCCTAGCAGTCCTAGGGTCAGTGCGGGGAAAAACTGGACAGGGGAAGAACTGGACACCCCACATTTCACTTCAAATGCCATATGTACTGGCCTGACAACTGTCATGTAATGAACCGTTGATGCCACGGAACAACTTTTGATAGTTGTTATTCCTGTGCCTACGGTACTTGAAGTTAAATATGGGGTGTCCAGTTCTTCCCCTGTCCAGTTCTTCCCCGCCCTAACCCTAGCCTCCTAGGAGTTGTCTGACCCGGTCCCTGGCGTAACTTGAACTTCCGATTTTACGCTGATGATGGAAAGAGATGCCATGCTCTGCAGTTTTGTCTTCTGCTAATCCATACTTTGAACTATTGAGAAAAGGCCTGGAAAACACTCTAAATGTCTTACGAAGACATGAGATGAGCGGCCGGACGACGCACAGAGTCCTCAGGTGACGGAGCCGTGGACCCACATGTGGCGTGATAGCGCAGTGGTAAAGAGCTTGGCTCGTATGAAGAAGGTTCGGAGTTCAACTCCGGGCAGCGCCGAGGCGAAAAGCGATCGCGATTCAAAGTTGCGTGATGCTTGCAAGTGAACTAGAACATCACCTTCATTTTCACATTTTCTTCCTCTTTTTCTTCGTTATTTGGGCTATATTTTAACTAAAAAATTTAGTTATTTTTACCACACGAGGGTGCTGGCGGCATTGTGAGGATAACCAGAATTCTGGTTATTTTTACCAGATGGACGCTAACTAGGCAGTGTGGTATTTGTCACTAGAATTCTAGTTGGTTCCTATTTTACTACACATTCTGGTAAATGGCACTAAAATTCTGGTTGGCCAGTGTACGAAGGAAATGGCGCAAGCATAATACGAAGATGGTTTTTCTTCGTATTACGAAGGTTTTTCGTTGTATCTTACAATCAAAAAACTGAAAAGATTCGTATTGCGAAGGAATATTGCTTCGTATTCACTGCAACATGCGAATAACAGAGGGGGCATTCCATGCCTACGGGGCCACTTTCGTAGGTGACCATCTCCGATTTTGATGCAATTTGGGTCACTTATAGTACACTGAAAAAAAAGTCTAGTAACGATAACCAGAATCCTGGTACCAAATACCAGACTGTCTGATAGAATATAACTCAACTAGAATTCTGGTAAAAAATACTAAACTGTCTAGTTGGCCTCAGTCTAGTAAACCGTACCAGATTTATAGTTATCCTCACAATGCCGCCAGGTCCCCTTCTGGTAGTTTTTACCAAACATCCTGGTTAGTTAATGTGCTTACAAAACTGAAGTAAGAAGTCCAAAATTTAATAAAATATTTTTTCGTAGTGATGAAATCTGATGTGACGTCGATTTCGTTAACGAACAACCTCTGAATTGTTTTTTTCCCTCCTCCTCTCCTCCGGATTCGAACCGGGATCTCACACTTGTGAGACGGGCACGTTACCACTGCGCCACCACGTCGCCTGTGGGTCGAGGGGATCCCCGCCAGGTGACTCTCTACGTGTCTGGCTCAGGGAAATACTCCCAGTGTTTCTTTCGGATTTAAGACTCCGAAAATAACGAAACCGGTTGCAGTTTACTTTTTGACACCCGAACATTTCAATTGAAACGAATATTTCGAAGTTTTACGTATGGTGCCAATTACGGAACAGTCTGGTAAAATTTACCAGGATTATTAACCAGACACCTGGTAAATGTCACAACACCCGATCTGGTTACTGCAACTGATCATCTGGTGAGAGTTACTAGGATTCTCGTATGAGTAACTAGTACTCGTTTAACTAGGATTGGTCTGGTACTTTTAACCAGACTTTTTTCTCAGTGTACCCCCAAAGAAAGAATTTTGTGCAAAATCTCAGTCGGATCGGACGAAGACCTCCGGAGATATCGAGGTTTTTGTGTATTTTCAAAAATCACCTAATATCGATTTGGGAAAATGACATGATATTACGTTATGCACCGTGCGATGGTTAATATTTGAGATACAGCAAAAATGAGAGGTTCGTTGGAAGCGCAAAAGTATGGGGAATCAGTATGGGCCAAACGGTGTGATCAAAATGGCACCCATTTAACCACACGGTAAAAGTGCCGCCTTGAAATCCAAGGGGATGTCTCGTTACATTTCCAAGGGGTTTGAGTGAATTTTTCAAGTGGTCCAAATCAAGATCTTTTAATAGAAACGGATTCGTCTCGACAAGACAAACAAAAAATGTCCTCACATCTCATACGTCTGGATGAGAAATGAGATCGTTATTGAGCTTCAAAAGTTCGGAAAAGGTCATTTTTTGACCATCTTACGAAGTTTGTACGTGAATAACCTTTTCATTTTCCATCCCCGTTTAAAAATGATCTTGCCCGAAATCGTGCCGGATGACGGCAGGATTTCGGGCATGCCCGGCCGGCACGCCCGAAATCCGCCCCGAACGAGGAGTCCGGGCTTGCCGAAAAATGATCATTTTGTTGGAAAACAAACCGATTTTCGGCAATGCCGGACGCTTGCCGGGCATGCCGAAATCGTGCCGAACCGTCCCTCCCATTAAGCTGCAGGGGAGGGGGAGGTACCTGGATGGCGGTGCCCATTCAGTCTCGCACACAGGCACACTCGTACACACACAGGCTCACATTTACACACTCACATACACACACACGTACACAGAACGCTGAAGGAGAAACATTGGTTAGTATTGGAACCCAGGACGACCGTCTTTGTGGACCGAGACGCTGCCAACTGCACCACGGAGGAGACCTGGGGAGGAGGCCTCAGGCTCCCGATGCCTTCCAGCGAGCTCGCTCGACCCCGAGCGGCACTGGCGGGGGCGACACGCTGCTGGCGGAGGAGCACGCGGCGAGCCCTGTGTCTTGACGAATACGTAACCCCCGCGAGACTCTTGGGTTACTAGCGGAGAGCCCCTCGACTTTTGGACAAGGTGCGTGGGTTGAGCTGGGCACTTGGATCTAACAACAGACTTGGTGAACGTGAGCGTAGGTACTGGAGCACTGCGTGTGGACTAGTCAACCCGCGGATCCAGGCCCACTGGAAACCCAGGTCTGAGGCTCCCAAACCCGGTTATTGGGGTGCTGGCTACACGCAAACCCGGTTCTTCGCTTCCTTATAATCCACGTACTCGAAGTACCCTTTCCCCGCGGCTCAGAGCCCTATAGACCTTTTCTTTAGGATGCAAGCTAAAGTTACTGCTAAGGCTGTTAAGCATCAGAAGCTCAACGGATTCAACTGCATTCATTCAAGTACCCGTATCAAAGTGTTCAATTTGATTGTAGATTTGTTCAGTCAAAGAATTCAAAATTGTCATACAAACATCTCGTTTGCACGGAATTTTCTAATTTTTCACGCCGGTTTTGATAGAATTGGTACTTAAGGAAGAATTTCATTATTTTAACTTTTCAATTTTGTACGCAGGTCAAAGACATTAACTTGACACTTCTTTGATTAGGGTCTCGATGCGGGGCGCATGCCCAGGCATGCCCGGAATCATGCCGAAAGGCACGGGCACGCCCGAAATCCACCCGGCCGGGCAGCGGTCGGGGTCGCGGTACGATTCCGGGCCGCCCGCGACAGCGGGGCTCATTTCGGGCTTGCCGCGTGCCGGCGGCGGGTGGATTTCGGGCTTGCCGAACGCATTTAGGCATCATTCAGGGCATGCCGGACACTTCGGCATCATTTCGACATCATTTCGACACATTCTCGGCACGATATTTTTTAAACGGGTCCAAACCTATGACATGTGTTGACATTTTTTGTTTGTCTTGACGAGACGAATCCATTTCTGTTAGAAGATCTTGATTTGGACCACTTGGAAAATTCACTCAAACCCCTTGGAAATAATACAAGACATCCCCTAGGATTTCAAGGCGGCACTTTTACCGTGCACACCAGTATGTGTGGTCTAGACCACTTTTGGTTTTTCAGTGTCGGCCCACACTGAGATTCCAAACGCTATGAGTATAGCACGTATGGTGCAATGCAGCTAGCATATTGCACCATACGTTAGGCCGCATCAAAAATCACCGATTTTTGCGAATTGACCCTTTTCTGAAAGATCATGTTCAGAAACGACCCTCCACCAAATTTGAGCGCGTTCCGACAACGGGAACCCGAGGCGCGACAGGGCCTAAAGATTTGCGGGCCGCGGGTTGCCTACCTCTAGCTGCTTCTTCTCGGCGCCGCGGCTCTCTGCTGGTGCACTCAAGGAACGCAGCACAGCGTTGGGGCTGTCCTTTGGGGTCAGTACTACACCTTCAATACGTTTTGAGCACCGTCGGATGCGACTCCGCGAGTACACCGCGAGAAAACCGCGAAATCGGTTTACCCTACTCTCTACGCATGAGAAGCGTTCGCGGCGGGCGAAATCGCTGGTGGAGCAGCACAACCATATCGGCCAAGGACACACAAAGTTTGAGCAGAATGCGCCACCTGCATCACCGTCAAAATGAGGGGAATAGTGTCGCGCCGGGAAGCTAGGCCACTGGTTGGCCGTAACAAGAGTCACCGATATTTGCAAATCGACCCATTTCCGCCTATTTCTAACATACCATGCTTAGAAACGACCCTTCATTGAATTTGAGCGCATTCCGACAACAGGAAAACGAGTTCCACTGGGCGAAAATATGATTGTGCTGCGGGTGGCCTACCTCCAGACCGAGCGCAACACTGTTCCCCTCATTTTGACGGTGATGCAGGTGGCGCATTCTGCTCAAACTTTGTGTGTCCTTGGCCGATATGGTTGTGCTGCTCCACCAGCGATTTCGCCCGCCGCGAACGCTTCTCATGCGTAGAGAGTAGGGTAAACCGATTTCGCGGTTTTCTCGCGGTGTACTCGCGGAGTCGCATCCGACGGTGCTCAAAACGTATTGAAGGTGTAGTACTGACCCCAAAGGACAGCCCCAACGCTGGGCTGCGTTCCTTGAGTGCACCAGCAGAGAGCCGCGGCGCCGAGAAGAAGCAGCTAGAGGTAGGCAACCCGCGACCCGCAAATCTTTAGGCCCTGTGCGCCTCGGGTTCCCGTTGTCGGAAAGCGCTCAAATTTGGTGGAGGGTCGTTTCTGAACATGTGTAACGCTCACTTTGTGCGTCACAGTTCAAATCTTGGCGCGGAGCCGACGGCGAGGTTTCTCATAACCGCCGCTCAGCTGTCAGTAGGGATGACCGCCCAGTTTCTCATACCTCCCGAACTCCGCCGCTTCCGGCTTCCGGTCCGTCAGTACTGTGTGGACGTTGAGAGTGTGAAAGTCAAATAATTTTTATCTGTGATCATCCGATAAGTGGTGCACAAGTTATATAACCTGAATGGTTCCTTTTTATTCACACTTTTGAGAAATACTGATGGATAGCTCTTGGTGAGTTTTGTGGACTATGAGACTCAATTCTGAAGTGAGCACATTTTACACTGGAGGCCATAACCTGTCTTTTTGGTTCCGGTTACAGTTCTGATGTCTTGGAGTTGTTATGAATCCTTTTTATTCTGGCACAATGCAATGGATTCTTTTGCTTCGGTGAGTCGATGGGCAACATAGGATATACCTGCAGCATTTTGATTGAGCTCAGTTTCTAATTTAGCCTGTATTTACAGTGATATGGCTTGATGATGAACCCGATGTGACACTCGATTCTGACAAACATCTGTGTCTTGTTCTTACACCCAATCGGTGAGTTGGATTAATTGAAGCCTGAGTTGAGTAAAGGTATTCCTGGTCCTGTCCGGTAGCTGATTTGTGTCCTGTTCTGTCTGTATTTCAGGGTTCTAACCTTGGTTCTGATGTGTGGTTCTAAACCTGAACCTGTTTCCGTACAAGACTATCCTGAAGACATCTGTGATGTTGATGTGTGCCGTTTGTGTGTGTGCATGAGCCTGTTAGAGGTTATCTCCGTCCACCGTGCTGTTGTTTTAATTTCTTTTAATGTGAAGTGAGGAGTTTTAGTTCTGAATGTTCTAGTGGTACTAGAGTGTGTTTTAATCTGATTTTATTATGTGCCTTGTGCTGTGGTTTACAGCTGTTTGAGATTTGCCTTAAGTCTGATCTGCTTTTGTGTTGGTGCTCATCTGCACCTTAGTTAAGTGTTTGATCTGCTTGTGTTGTTGCTTATTTGCATCTCAATTAAGTTTATTGGTCAATATTGTGATCTCTAGTTTGTGTGTGTGATATCTGGTCTAATTATATTGTTATTTAACTGAGTTAAATTGTGTTTCCAACGTAGCCTTTTCCTTTGATGGTGACATTGTCACCTGGCGCCCACAATTTTGAGATTTAAATCAAAGAGTAACTCACTCAACCTACCATCTAGGCATAGCCGGGCCACAATAGTTTAAATTCAGTTGCATTAGACCGATTACTCTGATTGAGGCTACACATGATCTTTCAGAAAAGGGTCAATTCGCCAAAAAAAATTTCGATTTGATGCGGCCTACCATACGTGCAATGCGATAGCCATATTGCACCTTCCGTGCAATGAATCACGAAAATGCCCTATGCTTACGAATGGGAATGGGGAGGCATCATTGCACCAATTGACGCTGTACTCATAGCGTTTGGATTCTCAGTGCAGCTTCACCCTGGACACCGGTGGGTGCAACAAGTAGGTTAGGAGGTGCCTTTCGGCAATAATTGTCACACCAATAAGCAGGCACTAAACGCGCGTTCGCGTCGCAAATCGCTTGCGTGATTTGCCGCAGTCCAGTTCTGACCTTTCTGTTGGCTTTGTGTTGGCCGTAAGGATTACAACACTTCCTACGACTGCTACCTGTCACAGAAGCAACACAAATTCAAACGAACCCTTTGAATGACAGACACTCGTTTAACGTAAAAGGGGAGAAAAAAAGGGCAACGCACTTTTACCAATCGGATCCATACTTGAACAAGACGACAGAGGAAGACCAGACGCTAGAACGAAAAGTGCACACAATGCAACACTTGTAAACAACCAAGCCGGCGGCCAGAACAGCTGACTCTCCCTTCTCCCATCATCTACTCCTTCGCCCTCCCCCTTTCCCTCACCCTGCCACCCCAGACCGGTCAGCGACTGCAGGCAACCCCTTCGACGCGCCTGTCGTGCAGGGTAGCCTACACTCTGCTCCACGGGCGCTCAAGGCTGGAAAAGAGAGAGCCCCGCCCCGGGCGGGGTGGGGTGGGGCGGGGTGGTTCCAAAGGGTGCAAGACGGCGGTAAACCAATGTTTTCCGAAACACAAGCCGGTTGCATGTTCTGGTGGCCCAGGGCGAACTTGCAGTACGCAATCTGTTGGCTGGAGCTCAGTCCGACCAAAGCCGACTACTCCAAAAGTGCTCTTTTTTCAATAAAACCGTCGAAAGAGGACATGTTTCTGAGTAGAATGACGCATCGGGAGCTTTGATACGAGTTGTCCCACACACTGCAAACCTAACTGTCTATTAAGTACACACTTTCAAATGCATGCTTGCAAGTACACACTTACAAACGACCTCTGTAAAGGTGGCCCCCCATAAATCCCGCCCAAGTCCGACCGTATTTTTTTGATTGTTTTTCGTTGTTTAGGTTTTTTAGCGTTTTTTTTGCGTCTAGTTTGTATCCCGACCCGGATTTAAAGGACCCCCAAATCGCCAAAGGGTTGGCCCGACCCACTTTAACCGTGAGTCCTAACTTAACGCCGGTTTGTTATTTCGACTCGAAATCGTTAGTTTACGTTTGTTTTGCCAAAAGTTTAGCTCTCGGAAGAGCCAGTTTGGTCACAGAAGCACGGTTCCTATACGTAAAAACAGTGGGTCGGGCCAGATACCCAACGTGTGGTTATAATCAGATGCGAAGTACCAAACCTTGAATTCAGGTTAAGAGCGATCTGTTTCGTTAAGTTTTGCCCTAAGATGTACAACTTTTACGTTGAAAGTGCATTTCTCCATTATTTAGATTTCGTGGTTCGGGCCACGTTACCCAATTAAAGTTACAATCAAGCGCGGAGTGCCAAACCCTATTCTTAGGTTCAAGACGGTGAGTTTCGAAAAGTTTTGCCCTAAAATGAACTACTTTTACGTCCACAGTGATTTCGTTTTCAATTTCAAAATCGTGGGTTGGGCCAGGTTACCAACTTGTTGTTATAATCACACGCAAAGTACCAAACCTGTTGTTTAGGTTTAGAACGATCAGTTTCGATAAGTTTTGCCCTCAAATGCACAACTTAAACGTATATAGTGTCTTTTTTCTTTATTTCAAAATCGTGGGTGGGGCCAGGTTACCAACATGTACTTTCAATCAATCGCGAAGTACCAAACCGCAAATTTAACACAAGAACGGTAAGTTTTGATAAGTTTTGCCCTGCGATGCAAAACTTCTACGTCCACGGTGACTTCTTTTTAAATTTCAAGGTCGTGGGTTAGGCCAGGTTACCAACTTGCAGTTATTATCACACGCGAAGTACCAAACCTTTAAGTTAGGTTAAGAGCGATAAGTTTCGATAGGTTTTGCCTAAAAATGCACTACTTTTACGTCCACAGTGAAATTTGTTAATTTACGAAATCGTGGGTTGGGCCAGGTTACCAACTTGTATTTATAATCAAACGCGAATTCGTAAACCTTACATTGAGGTTAAGCTCCATAAGTTTCGATAAGTTTTGCCCTGTGATGCACAACTTCTACGTCCACGGTGACTTCATTTTAAATTTCAAGGTCGTGGGTTAGGCCAGGTTACCAACTTGCAGTTATTATCACACGCGAATTACCAAACCTTTAAGTTTGGTTTAGAGCGATAAGTTACGATAGGTTTTGCCTAAAAATGAACTTCTTTTACGTCCACAGTGAAATTTGTGAATTTTCGAAATCGTGGGTTGGGCCAGGTTACCAACTTGTTGTTATAATCACACGCGAAGTACCAAAACCTGTTATTTGGGTTTAAGAACGATCAGTTTCGATAAGTTTGGCCCTAAAATGCTTTACTTTTTCCTCCACAGCGATTTTGTTCTTTATTTCAAAATCGTGGGTGGGGCCAGGTTACCAACCTGTACTTTCAATCAATCGCGAAGTACCAAACCGTAAATTTAACATAAGAACGGTAAGTTTTGATAAGTTTTGCCCTGCGATGCACAACTTCTACGTCCACGGTGACTTTTTTTAAATTTCAAGGTCGTGGGTTAGGCCAGGTTACCAACTTGCAGTTGTTATCACACGCGAAGTACTAAACCTTTAAGTTTGGTTAAGAGCGATAAGTTTCGATAGGTTTTGCCTAAAAATGAACTAGTTTTACGTCTACAGTGATTTCTTTTTCAATTTCAAAATCGTGGGTTGGGCCAGGTTATCAACGGGTAGTTTTAATCAAACGCGAAGTACCAAACTTTGCATTGAGGCTAAGAACGATAAGTTTCGATAAGTTTTTCCCTCAGATGAAAAAATTTTACGTCTACGGTGATTTTTCTTTTATTTCAAGGTTGTGGGTTGGGCCAGGTTACTAACTTGTAGTTATAATCACACGCGATGTACCAATCATGTAATTTCGGTTAATGACGATCTGTTTCTTTATGTTTTGCCCAAAGATGTACAGCTTTCACGTTGAAAGTGCATTTCTCCTCTATTTAGAATCCGTGGTTCGGGCCACGTTACTGAATTGAAGTTACAATTAAGCGCGGAGTGCCAATCCTTACATTGAGGCTGAGAACGATAAGTTTCGATAAGTTTACCCCAAAGATGCACAACTTTTACGACTACGGTTTTTTTTTTTTTTTTTAAATTTCAAGGTCGTGGGTTAGGCCAGGTTACCAACTTGTAGTTATAATCACACGCGAAGTACCAAACCCGTAATTTAGGTTAAGAACGATGGGTTTCGATAAGTTTGGCCCTAAAATGCTTCACTTTTTCCTCCACAGAGATTTTGTTCTTTATTTCAAAATCGTGGGTGGGGCCCAAGTTCCCAAACCCTGTACTTTTAATCATCGCGAAGTACCAAACCGTAAATTTAACATAAGAACGGTAATTTTTGTTTTTCCCTGCGATGCAAACTTCTACGTCCCCGGTGATTTTTTTTAAATTTCAAGGTCGTGGGTTGGGCCCGGGTTTACCAACTTGCAGTTGTTATCACACGCGAAGTCCCAAAACCCTTTTAATTTGGTTTAGAGCGATAAGTTTCGATTGGTTTTGCCTAAAAATGCACTTCTTTTACGTCCACAGTATAATTTTTTAGTTTCAAAATCGTGGGTTGGGCCAGGTTACCAACTTGTAGTTATAATCAAACGCGAATTCGTAAACCTTACATTGAGGTTAAGCTCCATAAGTTTCGATAAGTTTTGCCCTGCGATGCACAACTTTTACGTCCACGGTGACTTCTTTTAAATTTCAAGGTCGTGGGTTAGGCCAGGTTACCAACTTGCAGTTGTTATCACACGCGGAGTACCAAACCTTTAAGTTTGGTTTAGAGCGATAAGTTTCGATAGGTTTTGCCTAAAAATGCACTTCTTTCACGTCCACAGTTAAATTTTTTAGTTTCAAAATCGTGGGTTGGTCCAGTTTACCAACTTGTAGTTATAATCACACGCGAAGTACCAAACCTGTAATTTAGGTTAAGAACGATCAGTTTCGATAAGTTTTGCCCTCAAATGCACAACTTATACGTCTACAGTGTCTGTTTTCTTTATGTCAAAATCGTGGGTGGGGCCAGGTTACCAACTTGTAGTTATAATCACACGCGAAGTACCAAACCCGTAATTTAGGTTAAGAACGATGAGTTTCGATAAGTTTGGCCCTAAAATGCTTAACTTTTTCCTCCACAGCGTTAAAGTTAAAGTTATTTTATTTTTTATTCTGTAAAAAAACTTAGCTTTGATGGTAAATCCGGTATAGCATCTTGTTCATGCGTCTCAAAACTACTCCGGTGCAAAAGATGTGCATCTTAATGCACAACTTATCGTTTATGCCCCATATTTAAGGTTTGATACCTCGCACTTGATTATACAAACAAGGAGGTATCATGGCCCGACCCACGAATAAAGAAAAACAAGAAGGAAAGACATCAAAGAATTTTAAACACATGGGAGGGACCCTTCTTTACAAAGCTAGATTGATGTGTCAGTCGCTGATCGTTACATGAATTGTCCTCTGACGATTTGTAATTTTGCCTTTTAACGAACGCTTCCGGTTGGTTCTCCTCTCATGCAGGGAACATCGATGCATCGCGATATCTCGAGATATC